GGGTGCAACAGCTTTGGAAACTGTTTGCTGGAAAAGATAAAATAAATTTTTGTCCAAAAGATAATATTAGATCAACCCGACCTACAACCGTACCTGGCGGCGGCGACGCGTGTGTGGTAGTTTGAGCCAAGGTTCCATTTGTCTATAACTCCTCCCTTCTACAAACTTGGGGTGCCCCTTGGGGCCCAACCCAAGTGTTGTCATCTAGAGCTTATATACATACACAAGTTCTCTTAAAGTTTCAATGTGGGACAAGCGTAAGGAAATTCACATTTAATTCTTTAATTCCACGAATCCGAAAACGACGTCAAGTTCTCATTCACTCATAAATGGTTTTGACGAACTGTTTTCACCGTGTGATTTGCTATGCAGCAAGGAACACGTCACCTCTTCGGACCTACCCCAAAAGCTGTTTGGGGCCCACTCAAAATTAAACTCAAAATTGGCTCAAAATAAATCTATAAAAAACCATTATTTCCAACATTATGAAATTAAACAAGCATGATGGTTATGTATATGGTGCCCTATTCCCATAAAACTTTTGAGCAAATAATAAAACAGTAATGGTAGGAACTAACCATTTCAAAAGAGAATATCAAGAAAGTTAGTATATGATTTAAATTCATCTGTCAGTCCAACATACAAGAGTTGAATATGGATTTATATAATTTTTTATGTGAATTTTTAATATCTAGTATTACTGTTAATAAAATTGTCAAAAATAGAGAGGGGTGAAGGTTTGGGTGGAGAGTTTAGGTAGTTGACATAAATGTAAACTATTTTATTATAATTTTGCTAATGAAAAAAATCTACTCGATTAAAAAGAGATAATCGAGAAGGATAACATCACCCTAAATATAAAATCAATAGTTTAAATGAGATTATAGGGGCATTCTATATTCTTTAAACACAAGTAGAATGACTAATTCATTATTATTATTATTATTTTTGCAAAGCAAATTTCTTATCCAGGATGTTAGAGGTGGGAAAATTTATTGGTTGATTTAGGATATTGTATTGTAATTGGTAAAATGAGATGAAATTTATAAATTTATATTAAGTGATTAAAAAATATTAGAGAATATAATAAATTGTAATCGGTGAGTAATATGATTATGTGATATTGTTGAATTAACCAATAATTTTTGTCAAAGGTGAGTAATATTTAGTTGTTTATTTATTTTCAAGCTATTTATTGTAGCGGTTGTCGAGCTTCCAACTATGTACGGTTAGACTAATTATTTGATTTAATGTAATTTTTTAATATTTATAATTAATTTCTGCTTGATTAAAAAATAATCGGTAATGATATATTCCACTAAAAGTGCTACTTTGAAGCACCACTAATGAGTTGGTAAGCACTTTACATAAAAAAAATAAGAAAAAAAATAAGACACAAGCAGTGAGTTCCGTCCACTGCCACATCACTAGTAGTACTTTTAGAGCACCACTTTTAGTGGTCTTAAGCATTATTGAAAAATAATATGTATTTAAGCAGGCGTAAAGAATGATGATGGTAAGCAGTAGTGCTGTAAATGAACAGAGCCGTTCGTGAACAGACTCGAACTCGACTCGGTAAGAGCTTGTTCGAACTCGGTTCGTTAATTTTTTTTTGCGTTCGAGCTCGAGCTTGAACTCGTTAAATTTTTAATAAACAAACCCAAACATTCTAAAGCTCGACTTGTTAGCTGGCTCGTTTAATATTTATTATTTATATATTAAATAATATAAAAATATGTATAAAAAATAGGAAAAATATACTATTTATATATTTTAAAAATATAAATGTAAATAATAGTTAATTATAGATAGTATATTATTGATCAAATGTCGAATCAATTTGTAAAAAAAAAAAAAAAAAATTGTAAGATTCGTTTCAATATGAAAAATTTTTAGGGGTGCATTGTATATTATACGTTTGGGATGTGAGTTATTTTTTGACTTTTTAACTATCTTAGTTTGAGGCTAAAAAATCTCATTTGGGATGGATTTTTTGACTTTTTTGAATTTTGTAAGAAAAAAAATAAAATAGCTATGAGTTGAATGTGATATTTTATCTTATTTGTCTAAAATAGTCTATTTTGTCATATATGGCTATTTTAATCCAAATATTCATCCCAAACGGGACCTTATACAAATTTTTTAAAGTTTTTGCAAATTTACGTAAGTAGTTTTATAAAATTGTATGAACTTAACATAAATTTGCATATAATCATATAAGTTTTTTATGAACTTACGTAAATTTATTTTGAATTTATGTAATTTTATATAATAACTTACATAAATTTGTAAAAATTAATATAATTTTATATAAAATTAGGTACGATGTATATTGCATATCGAAACATTTGTCAATATCTCATAATATGTGTGTTCAAATAATATATATATATATATATTATTGAATGCTTTTATACGTTAGGATTTGGTCCGTGTAGTTAAGCCTTCGTAGGTTCATTATGTGACTCACTTCAATGACTTGAGAAATGCATGATATAGGGCTTTTTATGTAAATCATCCATATAAAATTTTAGGGGGTGTGTGGGAACCAAAAATTAAGGTTAAAATAGTTTCAAATACCAAAAAAGCTAAATAGCTTACTAAACTAATAATTTATATTTATAAAAAAAAACAAAACAAAACAAAAACCAATGCACTGACGGCCAGCAGTGGGTAGGCTCAGCCTAGTCGCACAGGCCAAAATGACATTTTTGCCCCTATAGACTAATTTTGAAAAAAGTAAAGTTGAGAACAAACTTGTCATTTCAACCTCAAACATCATTTCAAATATATTTTTCAATACAACAACTCAAATAAAAATCCATCATATTTTTCCAAATACAAAAACTAAAATCGCCTATTAAAATAGTCAAAAAATCAAAAAACTTCTAAAATAGTCACTTCCCAAACACCCACTAAATTGATTAGACAACTCTAACCAGATGATTTTATTACATTTGTTATTAAAAAATGAATCATGAATATGATTGTGAAAATAAACCATCTATTATTTGAATACAAATGTGAACTGGTTATATGCTTACAATTATTTGATCAATTCGACTTTGTGCTTGGATGATCTGCTCAAAAGATTTTATAATATAAACAATCCAAACCATTAATCTAGATCTCATAGTGAGCCCACTAAAAGCGTCTCCAATTAACCATCAGATGCTTCATCAAATTTGAAGCTTGATGAAAAGTGCCAAAAGAGACGCTCCAACCCTTTTATCAAAATCATATCAAATAGAGACAAAATCAAATATTTCATCAGATGAAGGGAGCCTTACATTTTTTATCAAATTTAAATTTATCATTAGGCCGGACAACTTTCTAGATGTCAAGCAAGAGCAATTTTGACAATTTTTTTGTTCATGTCTAGACAACTTTCAGAACATTCGCTCAGATGTCCACTCGGACAACTGGAGATGTGAAAAAATCTACAAGAAAAACACAGAAGCCAGTAGTGGAACGTCTATCCAGGGAATTGCCAGCCCAATCAGAGTCTGAAAAGGCATGTAGTGTAAGAGGTCCAGGACTAAATTGCAGACCATAGCCAATAGTGCCTTTGAGATAGCGGAGCAGTCGTTTAACCATAACAAAGTGGTGAACAAGAGGTTGGTGCATAAATTGACAAGCAAAGTTCACTGCAAAAGCAATATCTGGTCTGGTGATGGTTAGGTATTGGAGGCCTCCAACAATACTTCTGTAGAGAGATGGGTTGGAACAAGGTAAATGATCATTAGGAGAAGAAGAAGGTTTAAGAGCCATGGGAGAAGAGTATGGCTTGCAGTCAGCCATATTAGCTTTTACAAGCAACTCAGAAGCATACTTGTGCTGAGATAAGAAATAGCCCATAGGAGATGAGGACACAGAGATGCCAAGGAAGTAATTAAGCAACCCAAGCTCCTTCATAGCAAAAACACCATGCATGTGATGAATCAAAGTAGTGATATAAGCACCATCACTACCAGTTAACAAGATATCATCAACATAAATGAGGAGAATGGTAATGGAGTCTGCTGTCTTCTTGACAAACAAGGATGAATCACAATGACTAGAGATAAAACCACAAGATAGTATTCAGATCTGGTACGAATGGATGTTTTAAAAGCATTGTACTCATCAGGTAGTCCATTTAGAGTAAGTAAAACCAGATCTTCATCATGAATTGGTGAGCCAGCAAGACTTAAGTGATCAGCAATAGTTTTGATTTGACAGAGATAGTCCTCCATTGTTGAATTCTTCTTGGTAAGATGATTGAGCTTAGTCTTCAATTGATGTACATGTGATCTAGACAAGGAGGTGAATCTTGTAGCCAATGTAGTCCATACTTCATGACTAGTGAGACAATGCAGAACAGATGTGTATATGGATGAAGACAGTGTAGCAGTAATACAACTAAGTAAATGTGCATCAACAGTAATCCATTCTGTGTAGTCTGGATTGACTACAGCATTATGATTCTCATCCAGAATTGTGGAAGAAGGACATTTCTTTGATCCATCAACAAATCCAAGTAGATTTGTGGCTCGTAATATGTTTTGGAATTGACTTCTCCATATCAGATAATTTGTAGTCTCAAGTTTGATTGGAACAAACGAATTTAGATTGGAGATGAGCAGAGTGAGATTGGAAGGTAAAGAAGTACTGGTAGATATACCTGATGAAGAAGCTGCCATTGCTGATTCTTGATGAAGATTCACCATTGATAGATTGAAGATGAAGGTTTTAATGCTCGCAAGAGCTATAAGGCTCTGATACCATAAAGAGAATCTGAAACTAATATTTTCATTTACAAAATAGCTTCTATACAGTTAGTTTTATATACAACAATTGTAACTCTAGTTACTAGTTAACTAACCTAAGGTACAGTTATAACAACTTTCTAACTAACTAACACATCACTATATGTAACAGGTTTGATTTGGGCTCATATTCCAATTCATGTTGAGATTAATCATTTACTATATATGTTCTAAATTAAAAAAAAAATCACAAACACATCTTACAAAACAATTAAAAGTATCAAGAAAAGAAATATGTGAATTAAATTTATGATCCACACCACACAAAGTTAAATTTATATCACATCCTTCATTTTCTTGCTACTTTTTCTAGAACAGTTATTTTGTCTTTACAAAAACTAATCACCGAATTAGACGCAATCCTCTTGTGTTTAGTTCTGTGATTAGTATCTGTTTTCCTAGACATTCTGTTTCTGGAATCACAAATGGCATCATGAAGAAAGAGTACACAATCTATGACTTGCTTTTGGTGGATTTTTTAGGTTTCTGGGCAGTTTTCGGCTTGCCAAACACCCCACAAAAACCACAACCGGAGACTTTCGGAGAGGGAGGATCGATCGCAGGGGTGCTAAAGTCGATCTTGACTGTCCGATATGCAGGCTCACTGTTGGATCGAGGACAATGCACCTGTGAAGCTCTTGATCTTGCTAAATTCTCTTCATCTTTGCTTGACTTCACTTTTCTTAGCTCTCCTGCTAAATACTTTTGATCCCAAACTAACCCTGATGAGCCTTGTCTTCTAAATGATGTTTTAGACCTTTGCAAACCATCCATCTCTCTCTCTCTCTCTCTCTCTCTCTCTCTCAAACTAGGTGTACTTTGCATGATGTTTCATAGTTGTATCTATTTATACTAGAATGGTGGTAGGCAATTTAATATTTCTTTTATTGTTTTTTAATATATATTTTTTATTATGTAATTTTATTCTTCCCTCTCCTTTCATTTTATTATTTTTTTTAAGGTTTTACTATATTAGTGTCAACTCTTAAGGTTTGCTATAGTTATTGTCAACTCTTAGAGGTAAGTGAAATTCTTTTTAAGTTTATTGAATTACTAGCGTAATGTGCACGGTTTTAAATTAATAATTAATAATTAATTTTAAAATTAAAATTAAATAATAAAATTTTAATTATTTTTATCACAATTTTTCTTATAATTTTTTTCCTACTATTAATGTTCTGTTTTAATTTCTAAATAATAATAATATGAATCATTATGTAATTAGTAAAAATTAAATAAAAATTATGATAAATTATAAAATTTCACTTTTTAATTTTTATTTTTAGGAGCAAAAACTACACCTATGATAAAATATAAATACATAATTTTAATTTGTCATATATTAGATGATATCGTAAACTATGTGAAACTCAATAATTATTATTATTTTTTACAAATTACATTTTTTTAGTTTTCCATATAATAGTAATAATAATAATAATTTTTTTTGTGAAACTCAATCTAGCAAAATTTGTTTAAATCAAAAAATTGAATAACAAAATGAAAATGACAAACAATGAATTACCAGTGACATTTATTTTCTTATCTTTCCTGAATCAGTATATATTTACCAAGTACAACTTTTAGATTTTCTCACAACTCTTATTGGGCCGTTTTCTTATTATTCTCTCTCCGTATTTATCTTTGCTTAACAGATCTTCATAGCACGGGTATAATTTTTTAAAATTATTTCATAAATCATAATACCCGTGCTATGCACAGGTTTAAATAAATAATTAAAATAATTTTTAAATTAAATAATAACATAATATTTATTTATAATAAATAAATAAACTATGGTAGAATGTATTTTAAAAAAAGTATAATAAAATTACAAAAAATATATTTACAATGAAATATAAATGTATTTTGTCTTATAAATTTTGCAATAGAGTTTATTTTATATCAGAGATAGCTCAATCTTATAATAAATTATATTTGTCAATTTATTAACTATCCATTGTCTATTTTGTAAAAATTTAAAAATATGTCTACTTAGGCATAAAATTATAGTTTCTCCTATGTCATAATTTACGAATACAAAAGAATACGAGTTGGCTTGAGAATTTATAGTTGTGCTAGATACTAAAAGTAACATAATTTTATTAACTCAACATTTATCTCAACTTGGTCATGACCTAATCATTAGATAATTGTCTTAGCATTGGTTTGGCATGATGGGTTTGGGTCGGTTGAGGCTAAAATTGTTACAAAAAGACAAAATAGACTTTTTAGTCTTAGGTTAAAAAATGTAGCATTTAAATCATAATCATCTCATTTTTTTCCTCACAAAAGTCAAAAAAGTCAAAAAGCTCATCCCAAATGAGACTTTTTAGCCTAAGGCTAAAATAACGAAAAAGCCAACCCACATCCCAAACGAAACCTAAGCATGAACAACTTAACTCATTTATTTATAAAATTAGTGAATAAATATATGTTATTATTTTTTATAATAAAATAAGAAATATGTATATGTTTATGCATAGTTATTAAAAAAACTCAAATTTTGATAAAATTTTATATTTATATTTAAAATTATTACACGAATAGTTAAGTATATTTATGTATGAAAAAACTATTCAAGGTCAACCTAAAGTATGGGCATTATTCTAACCATACTTTAGGCCTAATTTAGAATGTTGATTGGTTAATTAATAGAAATAGTTGATAATTATTAATTAAATTTTATGTTTAAATTATATTATGATTTCTCAGGTTTTGAATAGTATGAATTAATTTGAGGGATAGTATTTGCATTAAACCTTAAAAATAGTTTAGAAGTTATACTAAGATCAATTTTTATACCAACAATGAAATTCTTAAAGAATTATCTCCATTCATACCTAATTCATGATCGCTTAACCCACTTATTCTTTTTATTTTTAAAATTGGTAAATATATTATGATTATTTTTTATAACCAAAATAAGAAAATGTATGTATATTTTTGCCACATTTATTTATTGTAAAAAATTTATATATTTATATTAAAAATTCTTATACAAATAATTAAGTATATTTATGTATGAAAAAATTATATAATACTAGGTCAAACCTAAAATATGGAGCTTGATCTAATCTTACCTTGGGTTCGATTTAAAAATTGATCAATCAATTAGTGAAAATCATTAATAATAATCAATTTAAGTTTATGTTTAAAAATCCATTAAGTTATGATAGATATGAGCTAATAGTGGATCAAATATTAAAAGTATTGTATAAACTGAATTTGGTTGATTTTATGTTATATATCAATCCAATTTTTAAATAATTGTTTTGGTTCATGCCCAACCATCATATTGGCCACTTATTTATTTTTTAAAATGGTAATAATATTGTAAAAATTTGTATAACCAAAATAAAAAATATGAATATATATTTGGCATATTTATTAATATTCTAAAACTTCAATTAAGAACTTATATATTTATTCTTAAAATATATCTAATATTAAATTATATTTACATCTGAAGAATTATTTAAGATCAGATTAAGTTATTTTATAGATTTTGTTTTTAGCATAGAATTTGGTCAAAGAAGTGAAATCTAAAAACAAATCATAATTTTCAATTTAAATTTTATTAGATTTTTATTTAATACAAATTTTCGCGTAAAATGTTTTAATATTTTAAAAATAATTAATTATTTGTGAAATGAAGTTACTATTATAGAAAACACTAAAAAAATTGTGTTTTAATAGTGTGAAAATCCATTAACTAAAGAATTAAATTGATGAGATATATAAAAAAAAAAAAAATTGAAAATAAACGAGGCTAATCAGAAGGGTCCTTATAATCATGCACACTTAATTTCTTTTCACACCCATCATATGTGTTAAAAAATTTATAATTTAGGCATAAATATTAGTACATATGAGTGTACAAAACAAACCAAAAAAGGAAAAAAAGTGTACAAAAGAAATTAAATGTGTATAATTAAATCAAAATATTTTGAAGGTTCTTAATTTTCATTATGAATTTTAAAGATTTGAGAGTAGTTATATATGGTATATGAATAATATAGTAATATAGTAAGAAGCAAGTTTAAATAAAAATCAGTGAGAGAGGATTAAGTTGGAAAGATTTGAAATATTTTTTTAATCTTTTCTTTTGAAAATTATAATTATTAAATTATTAAATTTTGAAAACTATTACTTTAATAGATTAGCCAATACTATTTTTAAAATTTATTTTTTAATTCAATAAATTTACAAATTTATTATAAAGTTTTAGAACTCCCACAATACTCCTCGCGAAACCACCTTTCACTTATATAATATATAAATAGACAGATGTGATTTATTTTATATATTTATTATTTACTTTTATTAAGTAACTTTTTTTTTTTTTTGGTTAGGTAAGGTATCTTGGGCCGATTTATGCGCACTAGACTAAGCTCCTACAATCCGAACAAGCCTTCTAAAAGAGAGCTTACGCTCTGCTGTCTGTGGCCCCAAGGTATACGTTTACTGGTTAGGAGATTCAAACTTGAGACCTGATATGAAGAAAACCTCCAGACCCCAATCGTTATTCACTAAACTAACAATCTTGTGATTTATTATTATTAAGTAACTTTATCCTTGTTTTTGCTCCCTATGTCACAAATTTTTTTGTACTTTTGTTCCCACTAACTCACTTTTCATGATATTTATGTGAATTTATTTTATTTTAATTATCATTTTAATTAGAAGTAATTTTATACATTCACGCACTCAATTATTAAAAAATGGGCATGACTATTTCATTAAATGTTGGTATTGCAAAGGGTTACATTTTATAGCTGGAGAGTACTAATTTACCACGTTGATACATATTTTCATAAAATGGGTGAAGCTAACCTGGTAAGCTTCATCCACTCTTCTATTTTTTTGTGCAACATCATTAGTCAGGAGCATTATGTGCACACAGCAATGGTCTTCTAAATCCACGAAATAATTTTTATTATTCTATTATCTTGAGAGACAATTTTTGAAAAAAAAAATCAATAACTTGTTTAGTTGAAAATATTTGAAGAAAAAAAAAACTTCAAAATTACTTCTCTCTAACATATCAATCAATCATTTTTTTTTTCTCTCATCTCTCCTTTCACATCCTACACAATAATCAATTACTTTTTTTTTTTCTCACACACATCTATTCAATTACAAAAAAAAAATAAAAAAATTAAATCACTTCAAACTCCAAAACACCAATCAAACAAATTTTCAAATTTTGTAAACTCTTTCCATAAAATCATTTTTCAAATACAAACCAAACATAGCTATAATCTTTTGTCTTTGTTCTCATTTCTCCTCATTCTCATTTGTTCCAATATATCTCTCTACCACGTGGTCACTCTAACTAAATCATTCAAGAAAAGAATATTGAGGATTTAATCTCAGCTATGCTACCCTTAAATTTTATTTATACTGATATTATATAGGATTGAGTTTTAATTAATTGATTTCTAAACAATCAACATTTGATATGCAAGTGTCTACATTGTTGGTGATAAATTTAAGAATGATATTTTTATTTTAGAGGGACCCAAGTATTTCTCAATGGTTAAGTGATATTTTAGGAATGTAACGTGATTACAAAATTCACTAAATCTTAACGCTAGCATTATTGCATCCCAATAGAATTATTATTATCACCCATAAAGGTTATCTCATAAAATAACATAGGAAATTTCAATTCCCATTTTTCCCTATCTCAAAAAAATAAAAATAAAAATTAAATAAAAAAAACTATTTCTATCATATGATGAGTTAATTCCTTTACGAAATAATTTGAAATATGAAAGGACTTGGTCTCATAAATTATGTATATATATATAGCAGTCATTAGAGAATTTCAAAAGATTGAACAAAAATGAGGAATACATCATCATATATAAATACATATAGAAATAAGTTGGCATTTCACTATTTTATTCATAAGAATTGGCTTATATTGAATTGGCTTCACTCTTGTGATTCTGCCTCTTATAGGATGCCCCATGCTTTGGATTTGACTAATTCTTTCTCAATTGGCCAAGTGTTATTGTGTGGTAATCACTCTTACAAAGCAACTTACCAATCTATAATTTATAAACTACCAAATTTTTTTATTCTTTTTAGAATGACAACAGTTATAAGATCTAAACTAAGGAATAAACTAAATAAATAATAATAATAATAATAAAAACAGCTGCATGAATTGAATCTTCAACCTTCCGTTTAGAAACGCTTTAACACTTAGCTAACTGCAACTTGGGCAAGATCGGTTGAGCTCTCGTTTATTTATGTTGTTTTTGGTTGAAAAATTTGGAGAGGGATTTGACAAGGGAAAGGAAAAAAGTGTGTGAAACTGGTGAAATGTAGATATATTTTATTCACATTTCACCTAACTTTTTCCTTTTCATTTCCAAATCCCTCCTCAAATCCCCCAACTAAACACAGCATTAGACTCAATTCAAAGTAAAGAGAGATTTGTCCAAGCTTAAGCTTGAGCTTAACGCAAATAATTTAGGCTAAACTCAAGTTTGTCAAACTCAAACACCACTCCAAAAAAAATAAAAGAAAAAACTCCTTTAGTTTGTTCGATAATTAACGATTGTACTTTATAAAAGTAAAAAAAAAAATATATATATATATATATACAAACTATATAATAAGAAAATTAGTTTGAGTTATGTAATATGATTTATTTTTTTAATATGATTTACTCCAAACAACTGAATATAGTACATTGCGATATGATTTAATCAGTGAGAAAGTAATTTGTAATTTATAATATTTTTAATGTTTATTATATATATATAGCCCTATCTGAATTTAATCCAAACTGACAAATTTTAGCTCAAACCCTAACCAAATTTGAAATTATACTGTCTTGAAGTCCTAAAAATCTTCAAAATAAACTCAAGTTGCATGTTTTTTTTGAATGAAGAAACTCCAATCATATAGAATTAAAAGAAAGACAATCAACAAGAGTCAGAGGAAAGTGAGACCCAATCCAAAGGCAAAGACAATCAACAAAAAGAGTGGGAGGAAGGCATAAGACCCAATCCACAAAGGCAAAGCCCAAGCCGTCCAGAACTTGCATGGTTAGATCCATCCCCTTGTTCTAAAGGGAAGTGCAACTTCACACACTCCCAAAACGATTCATTCAGTATGTCCTTAAAATTTCAGTCACAACGTGTTACCAGAAAATAGGAATGGCAACGGGCCGGGCCGGGGATTGCCCTTCCCGTCCTCCATCCCCAAAAAGTACGGAATTCCTCATCCTCACCCACGATCCCCGGCAAGGAACCCATCACCTCCCCCGCCCCTCCCCCTAACGGGGATCGAGTTTCCTCGACCACAAAAAATCCCCCACGGTGACAGAGTTAATGAGCTGAGTCGTCGTCGTCGTCGTCGTCATCACACACACACACAGAGTGATGCAACAGAGTGACACACACACACACACACACATCTGCAGATCTGAGGAGTCATCATCATCATTACACACACACACTGAGGGAGAGAGAAGAGAGGTCTTGATCGGTGGTGGAGTTGAGGAGCTTTGGTGCGACAAGCAGCGGAGTGGTCAAAGCTCTAGTGCAACGAGCTTGAGAGAAAAAATAGACTCTGGTTGCGCCGCCGGAGAAGATGGAGACTCTAGTTGCGCGACGGAGAGACGAGAGACAGAGAGAGACAGAGGAAGGGATTAGATTTGAAATGAGAGAGAGAGAGAGAGAGAGAGAGAGAGAGAGAGATGAGTATATATAGTGAGTAGGTGAGTGTGAGAGAGAGGCGAGGTGGAAATAGAACGGGAACAGGGCCAGGGATGGGACGAAAAAACTTATCACCATCCTCGGCCCGAAACTTATCGGGAATTCTTTTTTGAATACCATTCCTAGCCCATCGAAGGTATTTTTTGGGAAAAAATCATACTAATCGGGGTGGGGAGGTCAAGTCCCTGTTGGTCTAGGTTCAAATTGCCATCTCTACCAAAAAACAAAGTTTTACAAGGTTTTATTGAAGCTCACCTTGAGATAAGGCTGAGACAAAACTCCTCAAGACTTTGATTTTTAGATTTTACTCCCCCAAACACAATCTGAGACATGCATCTTGTATGCTTTTTACACATAAGTATGTGAGGAATACACATATAAAAAGTTTGTCTTAAGGTCTTGTTAAACTTACTCTAATAAATGGTTTAAACATAAAATAAAATAAAAAAATTAACAAAAACCCCTTTTACAACTATATTTTATAGGAAAAGTTAAGTAATGATCAATCAAAAAAAAAAAAAAAGTGTGAATGCTCAATGAGAAGTTCAATCAGTAAAGCTAAGAATACTAATTTCACTTTCAATAAAGCAAAGCTTCCTTCTTTGTTTGAGCATAAAAGTATTTACACATTTATATTTAATTTCGATATATTTATTTATTGTTTTAAAATATTTACTAAATATAAAAATTTGAAATTTGAAATGCTTACGCCTTAATACTTCAAGGCTTACGCCTCGCCTCATGAGGGGTGAGGCGTTTGCCTTTAAAAACTTTGCCAGAAAATGCTAATCTCCTGACGAATTAGGTATTGGTATGCACATTCCAAAACATGGTACAAGTCTACCTTAGGAGCAAAAAGTTTGCTCACCTTAGTGATTCGAAGGAATCCCAATTTTTTTTTTTTTCAATATATTTCCTTAAATATTACCTTAGGAGGAAAAAAAAAAATCTAATCTAATTAATTAAAATCTAAGGTGAGTTATGTTTTCATAAGACAAAAACATCAAAAATGAAAAATATATATACATATATTATTAGATGCCTAATAGTTAAAAGAAAATTACTCTAAAATACCTCAAATTCTTAAGTGTAATATATACAAGTCTATTCCTATCGTACAACATTTTAGAAAAGGTAACTTACTACGTTCCCGTTCCATGTACCGGAACAATCCATGTTCCAGGTAACATAGGACAAAACAATTCCTAATTTCCACCAATTTGAGTCCTAGACAAGACTAAATTGATTCATTAAAAAAAAAAATCCACAAAATACCTCATAACCAATGCCATCTCGGTTCATAGCAAAACAGAACAAAGGCTCATAAGTAATGTCACTTCAAATTATAACCAAACACCAAATAGCCTCATAATCAAGTTCACCACAAATTTGACCACTACAATACTTCATAACTAACCACTAACATCATTCATAAGTAAGGCCACAAATCTTCATAACTACGTTTAAGGGGTGTATATATACCATAGAATTTTCCAAAAAATAAAATAAAATAATGAGCGTTAAATGAAAGTAAATGATAGGAGAAGGATAAAAATTTAATTACCACTCCACGAAAAAAGAAATCTCATATCTATCAACTGAAAATATCAAGTCTACTGTACATTCAACAAATAAAATATCTCTCTTTAATTTTATTATTATTATTATTATTTGGTGAAGAAAATGAAAGAAAAGCAATGGTGAATATTAAAGATCACTCCTATGGAGAAAAGGTAACAACTGCTACTCACAAGCTTTCCAATGCAAATCCTCCAACAAGAATGAAAGTATTAATGACCAGCACTGTACAAGAATTCTAAGCTCCAGGTTGTGTTTACTCATTAGTAATTAGGATATTCTAAGGCTACGAAACAAACAAACAAACAAACAAACAAACAAAATTTAAAAATTGAAGATCTTTAATAGGATCAGAATCTGTCTAGTAAGAAGAAAAAAACAGCATGTTCATGTAGTAAGATGTAAGGTAACAAGATCCGAGCATACCAGAACTGAAAGGATGTCGATCACAAGCTAGAAGGCGGCTTCTTAGATCATCTACCGTCATTATCTTCACAAAGTTGTTCTCATTGTTGATTCAATGATTGTAATTCAGCTTGAGTAGTTTAGCTGCTGTCATTATTGGCATCGAGTACAAGACCCAGTTTCTTTTTGTCCTTGAGGATTTCACTCAGAGGTTTAGGACTCTGAAACTCTTCTGACGTAGTTTGGCTTGAATGCCCTATCAGCCCCCCAGGGGAATACCCATTTTCTGGGGCTTTTCTCTTCTCTTCTTTGATTTGAGCAAGGGTCTTCGGCCCGGTAAACATCGTAGATTCCTCGGTTAATCTTCTCTTCCTTGAAACTGGCTTCCTAGAGATTTCAGATGAAAGAAAATGCGGTTTAGACTGCCTTTTTTCCTTATAATGCTGCCTCGGCCTGTTTGAAAAGGAGTCCCTAAACCGGCCATGTTGTCGCGACCTTTCTCGGCTTCGATCAGCCAGAAAAGAAGAGGTGTTCGTGTTCCTTCTTGAGAAACGAGTGACTGGAAGACCATCAATGACCCTGTGTTTCTTAAGATGGTCTCGGAGATCCACACCTCTCCGACCATCAATTACTAAATCCACAGTCAATAATTTCCTCTTTCGGGGATCCAACATTTTCTTCTCCCTCGAGCACCCATGAACTTTTCTGATGTAATCAAATCTTTGCTCATAATTATCAAATTGATCATGAGAATCACGTCTCTCTTGATCGTTCAAAATTCCTGCATCATGGTACGTAGGATCATACTCGACACGGTCTTCATAATCATACCCCAAGAAATTACCATTGAGCTCCCTGCCATCCCTATCAACGGAAAGCAAGTATTCCTGATCATCTTCATAGCCCAAACCTTCCGATATATCCCCTACAAGAACATCAAAACCTGGAGATGATTCTAACCAGTCTTCTCGCTCAATAGGACCATCCACTTGCTCCTCTGAGCTCTGATCAGTGCAGACAAGAGATCTGCTTTGAATTAAACCCTTCTCCAGAAGCAATGTGTCTGACCTAACTGAAGTTTCTTCACAATCGGATGTTGATAGATGAGGAGAAGCACTTTGATCTTTGACATTATTAAGAGCTGATTGAACGTCCTCTTTAAGCGTACTCTGTATTTCAGCTTCTCTCTTAGGAGCAGCTTCAGATGGAATTGGAAATGTTTCTATTGGTGCAGATCCTGCATCACTTCTAGCAGATGCCTTATTTTCCAAGGGAAGTGCACCAGTGACTTCAGAAGATTTCCAAGCAGGTGTACCATCTTCATTGGGTCCGTGTAGAAAAGAGCATCTATCGCCTTTATTGCAAAACCCATTGAAATAAAAATAACAGGGTGCGTTGACCTTGTTTGTGGGTGCAGAGCACTGAGATTGTGGAGGAGCAGATTTGGATGACACCTCGGTATGTGTATCTAATGGCTTTTAAAGAAGCAAGAATAAGGTCAGATTACATTCTGTAACATTTGAAAAATGACTATAAGACAAAAAGATTAAACATTACAAAACACAAGCAATATAGATTTAGTAATGTACTTATAAAAAAAAAGGAATTATTAACGTACAAATAAGTGGAAGATATATCACTGAGTTTCAAGAATCAAGACAAGCGAGTAAATTAAATGGGAGAGAGAGGCAATTAATGCCATAGACTTGATGCTGATTTAGAAGAATTTTAAGGTTTAGCCCACTGTAAGCTGAGTTTCTGTGGTTTCAACTCCCATTTTGTCAAGCCAAGTGAGACCATGGTCTTGTATGAATCACAGATACTTGCTGACATTCAACATGAGAAATCAATTCTTTCTCAGTCTCCAACATAGCTGCAAAAGGAAAGAGAGAATCCCTGGAGAATGGAAGGTTCCAAAGCATGCGTCATTTCAAAAGAATAGCAACAAAACTTCACCTTACTTGAACACTTCTGGTTTGAATTCTTTCATTCTTCCGGATGAATGAAAGAAAGGACCAAAACTCCCACTTCACAGCGAATGAGAAGATGACTCACTGCTTCCTTGTCAGGTTTACACATAAAACACCAATTCATATGCACTTGCCTTCTAATCAAACTATGAGTAGTTAGCATCTTGCAATGTGCCGTACACCAACAAAGAAAACCACCTTGAGAAGCAGCCTTAGTATGCCAAACCCTTCTCTAAGGAAAGAGAGTCCCCCATGACCCACAATGATCTAATAATAAGATTTCGCACTAAACTAGCCAGAAGAACAACTCCATCAGGCTGAATCCCCTCCACCACCAATGCTTATTTACAATAAACATTGCACCATTGTCATTGTCCAAAAGGGGGCAAAAAGTATAACAAAAAATGATATGAAAGCAAAAATATAAAATCTTATGTATTTATATTCAATTTCTTGACTATGATTGAGACTAATCTATTTATTTGGGGGACTTTGATAGGATATGTCAACAACATACAAAAATATAGTGGGTTTCATTAGATCAAAGGATTAATATTGCATCTTTAACAAATCAAGCACAATTGAAAGTGACGCATGCCTTTCTGCGTCTTGCACCTTAGAAGCACTTTATTAAAGTCACCTCGCCTCAGGGGTGTTGAAACACTCATATGTGCTTCGTGCTTTAAGCACACGCCTCAGTGCATTTTGACACTACTAGTATTATACACCCGACAAAGACATGTTGAACATCAGTCCGACATAAACAAAATATTGAAGTTCATAACCTTTCAAGTATAGGTCTTAGATTTCACTTTTCAAAGTTGAACATCTATACACATGCCAACATCAAAGATAGCATTTAATAGTTACTTTATAATGAACTAAGAAAAATGCTAGGAACCCCAAATATTTTACTAACATTTTTACCAAATGTCTCACATGGGTGTACGGTGTGGAGCCCACACCATGTGGGTCATACACCCATTTGAGACATTTAGTAGTAAAAATTTTGGTAAAACATTTGAGATCCCTAGCAATATTCGTAAACTAAAGAAAGAATAGTTTTATGCCTATATCAAGGCTCTCTATAGCTTGGTGCAATGGTAAAAGAATGGACTATCAAGCATGAAATGCAAGTTGATTTTGGGGTAAGTCATAGCTTCAGGATAGATGTCTAAACAACACAAATCATTCGGGACATGGCTATGACACAATATGTGAACGCACCAAAATGACAATTTTCAAATAAATTAGTACACAACACATCTAAGAGACAACAATTACTAAATAGAAATTTTTAAATGTCTACATAAGAATAACAATTATAAATTATTGCTTTATTCTTTACATTAAAAATATATCTATATTTTATTAGACCAAAACAGTAACGCAAACAAAATATCTTAATATCTATTTAGAAAGCTCTATTCATAAACAAAAATAAAGTTTTGGACATTAGAATCCCTAAAATTAAAAAGTATAAAATTTACACATTCAACTTCACATAGTCATCTCAATCACACTCATTTTACTTGCGCCTAGTTTCAATTAAAACTCACACATGATGCCGTAGACTTAGAGACAGCATCTCATATGGGGGGAGAGTTTTTCCTCTACTTATTTCATTCCAAGAGATTCAGAGAAGACAAATAATTAATGAAATTTGATGAATGCAAATCAACATTTCTACAGAAAAGAACACAATCCACAGGTGAGAAGTGCTTACAGGATGTCTAAAAGCACAAGAGGGATTAAAACAGCTCCCTGCCAACCAGTAACAGCAATCTCTCGGGTTAAGCCTCGCAATCTCACTATGTCGATACTCGCATTCAATCCCCTGCAAAGGCAAAGATTTCACATGTAAAACTTGTAACTTATTCGAGCTTTAAGCTCTCGATATTCAAAAGTAAAGAACTAAATTAAAAATCTATGTTAACAAACACAGATACATAAGAGACTTACATACATACGCATTGGTACTAAAAAAAAACTAGTAGTTTTTGTTGCTTCTAAGTATATGGATCTATTACATTTGATACTAATCGAAACAATTTAACGACCAATAATCAGAAGAAGGAACTAAAACAAGAAAAAGAAAGGCAATAAACAGCTAAATTTTGGGGAAAAAATCTCAATTCTGTGATATCAGCTGAAAGAACCCTAACACAAATATTGACGGATAGCAAAATGAAAATACGAAAAGCATTCGTGACATGAGCATAAGAAAGAAAAACCCTAGATTGCCACAACAGGAGTGATAGAATCGAATCAAAATTCGCAACATTGAAAACAAAAAACAAATGGAGAGAAATGATGGAGAGTGTGAAAAACCTTCTTGCAGGTGAGAGGAGAGGCCAAGAAGTAGACGCAGTCGGTGTTTCGCTTCTGTAATTCTTCTTCGTCCATTTCTAGAGATAGAGACTATGCAGAGTGAGAGAGAGTGTGTTGATTTGGTTTTTGGGGGGTTTTATTGCAAGTTTCAGGATTTTTGAATTGTGTGTATTTTGCAGTGAAGCCGCTGAACTTTTCCGTATTTCTGTATGTCTCCGGTACATTTGTGTTTTTATTACTTATTGTTCATGTATTATGCTATATTTGGATCTTAAATTAAAAAATCATTTTTACATATTTATTTATTTTTGTTCATGATCAGTAAAAAGAAAAAGAATTTCTTACAATTATCTATTCTTATTTTTACCTAAATCAACCAAACAAAGGGAGAACAAACATAAAACTTACTTCACTAATTTTTATTTATATACTGCATCTTTTTCTCTTCCTTTTTTTTCCTCGTAAATTTATGATCTAAATACAATATTAATATTTGAGAATTATGTTTGAAAAACTCAACAAGAAATAAGTGGGTCTTTTTTCTTCTTCTTTTTTTTTTTTAAATAAAGCTTGCCAATTTTCATGGTCCTGTTTGGTTGTTGGAAATGTTATGTAGAAAAGTGGCTTCGAGAAGAATAGAAAACATAATGCTAGTAGGCTTTAAATGTAAGAAATGGAACTGTTTGGTTTTAAAGCTTAAAGTTTTTTTTTTAGGAAAATGAGTGACCCCTTTTTGGAGGACCCACAACTCCCATAGTGATCCACACAATTCATGATATCCATACACAATTCATGATATGTGAAACCCACTTATGTACATGTGAAGTCCACATCATAAATGGTGTGGATCACTACTAGAGTTGTGAGAATCTTTCAAAAAAAGAGTCTCTATCCTTACTCTTTTTTTTAATAATTTTTTTTTCATGTTTCAATCAAATTTTTATACTTTTTAAATTTATTTAATCTTGATGTACATTAAAAAAAAATTAAAAACTTTTAAAGTAATTTTAAAAAAATTTCCAAAATAAAAAAAATATATATATATACATTTCGTATTTTGTAATTTTGTTACAAATATTTTACTTTTTGAGTATATTTAGATTAAGTACATTAAAAAATATAAAAAAAAATTAATCAAAAAAAAAATACAGAAGAAAAAACCTCAAAAACCCATTTTCCAAATCTAAATAAATAGATAATATTTTTTTAGCTGATAACTCCAAAAATATTCCAAAAAAACTTTTTTTTGGGTAAGTACCAAAAAAACTTTTACTTAAACTTAACTGCGGTTTCATCAGCAATGCTGGCTCATGAAGATGCTATTTTAACAGAAGACAGTTCATAAAAACCCTAGAAAATGAGAACACTCGGGGCACATCGGGATGACACGTGTCCTCAATGAAGCTGTATGTATGTATTGCTTCAAAATTCACTTTTTCTAACAAATTTGGGTTAAAACGTAGTAAACCAATACTGATTTTCTCCAAGTCCATCAAAATTTGTAAACCATTTGTTCTGTATATCCAAGTTCCTTGAGTAAGCCAGAGACCTGCAACAAAGCAAAATCGAAAGGAAATGCCTTAAGAGGAAACTAACATATGGGTTTCGATCAATATCAACACATGAAACGCAAAACGCTTTTTCATACCTCGCCTTGTGAATAGTCTTTCGCCTTGTCACCAGATATATGGTTCATCATTCCAGGGGGGCCGCATACCTGAACAAGCAACAGAAACCGACTTGAGTAATTGGAACCAGTTATGAAAATAACACAATAAAAAAATTTGAGCACAACCAATCTTAAACTATATGCCATGCTTGTCGAATGCAGTGCACATAAAGACTAGAATTTTTGGTTTGGTTAGTCTGCTTTTAAGTGATTACTTATATGCCGGTAACCTTTTAGATGTATTTTGAACAGCACAATATCCCAAACCTTTGAATAAATTTTAAGTTAAAAACATTTTTTTGTTTCACCTGTTCTCCTTATTTTATACAATTTTTGTACCTCAAATTGCACCTCAAATTGCAGAAGCGGTTTCTATATAATGCAGCTTTAGAGCAGAATATAGGAATAGGGAAGCATTTAAGTCGGCTTATGTTAACGCTGTGTTTGGTTGAGAGATTTGGAAAAAGATTTGGAAAGACAAAGGAAAAATGTAGGTGGAATGTGAATAAAATATACCTACATTTCACTTACTTTCACACTTTTTCTCTTTCACTTTCCAAATCCCTTACCAAATCCCCTAACCAAACACAGCGTAAGTGCTTTAAGGCTGTGTTTGGATTTTGAATTTGAGTAGGCAGTTTTTTAAGGGAAAGGAAAAAGAAGAAAAGTGAAAAAAAATAAAAGCTAAATGTAACAAAAAAAAAGGGGACAAACTTACGAGGATAAGAGTATCATCGCTAGGACCAGGTAAGCCTTTGATGGCCATATCCTTCGATATGTAACCTGTGCCTCCATTCCAATTGTTTGATGGTTTATCAACGGTGTAGAATATCTGCAATTTCGCATCAGAACATAGGGTTTCCAGTTCAGAAAAAAGTCCAATGTTAGGAAATAAGACAAGTTTAATACTGAAACAGTTGGTACCTTCAAATTTGGGTGGCTAGCAGCAAGCACGTCAAGCTTCTGTTTGAGCAGTATGTCATTAGGGGAAACATTGGCGTAGAGCAAAGAAACCTGGATGGAAAAAGTCATCATCAAGCCATAAAATTAAACTTATTGAGACAGAACTCATCATGAATTATTCAATAACATTTCACCTACAAATTAATAATACGAAAATGTATTGAGATTGGCTAATGCATAACATGTGCACCAAATCTCCACATATTTCCAATTATGACCAGACCTTCGGGTCATAGCTATGATAAAATTGACTGGAACAATCTAGAGATCGAGAATTACATGCAAAATATAAAGAGATAATAGGTTACCTGTGTGTTGTCCTCGGGGTTTTTTAAAATAGCCTCAATTACCTGAAGCATTGGAGTAATGCCTGTTCCACCCGCAATCTGAGTGAAAAGTATACGTTCACATTTCAGATAAAGTAACCATACATATGCATTAAACTTTCACAATTACAGTGGACAAATCAAAAATATATACATCAAACATAGGGACATCAAATAATATAAAACATTTATATTAGAAAGCAATGATAACAAAGGGGATGAGAAAAGAACTAACCACCCAAATTTCCTACTATCTTCCTAAATATAACACTCTACTACGCTGACTAATAACCTTCAATTACGTGTAGTTGTATTCACATATAACCTTTGATAGTGCGGAATGGAGAAAAAAGATTCATGTAGCCAATTCCACTTGATTGTTGACACAAGGCTTAGGCCTAGGCCTTGTTTGGCAACCTTGGTTTTTAGCTAAAAAATCAAATAGCCACTACAAGTTATCAAATCATTCTCTTTACTTTTCTGCACTTTTTTTGTAAAAAGCTAAAAAACCACTATCAATTCCTAAACACCCCCTTAGTTTAGTTTGGTTTGGTTTGACATTAAACAATGGAGGTGTTAACCAGAGAGCTGAAGAAAGGCATTTTTTGGAAGTTTGGAAGCATAACTTTTTTCTAAGGGTGCATTTTGGCAGCGGCTTTTTTTTTTTGGATAGTGCAACTGCCATAGGAACAGAGCACTAGAAAACCTGAGGTTTATAAGGGCTCTGTGAGAAAAGTTGCAGAGGAAGGTTTGCACCTGAAATGATATTTCACCCCTCGCAGAAAATCCAAGTTGTTATATGTAGAGTAAATTACATGGCTGTTGGGAATAAGTATTCTAAAGATCCATCCCTAAATTTGAGCATTTTTTAGTTGCAATGTCTTCCAAAAGTTCAAATATAAGGCATATCCTCTAGATTGTTTTCTTTCCTTTTTTTGAGTAAAAATTAGTACTGAAGTAACCTCCATTGTCAGAAGAAATTGAGTTCACAAGCATTTAGTACCAAATAAAATAAATATATCTGGGGGCTCTATCTGTCACTTAGAAACTTTAGGGATGGCAAATTGAAGATGATGTCTATGTATTTTTTAAAGCATCATTGATTCTCCCAAGTGCTTAAACTAATTTAAATTCATATGCGATCAAGCACTGCTAAATGTAATTCATAAAACTGCAGTAGTTACGTATAAAGATGAAGCATGTCATCAGTAGGATAACTTCATAAATCCAATAGAAAAGACTAAGGCCAAGTTTGGCAACTCTTGAAAAATCTAAAAAGCTAAAAAGTTATCAAAAAAGTTAAAAAGTTATCACTATTCACCAAAAAAAATTATTAAAAAAATAATATACAAATATTAATTTAAATGGTAAATTAATATAAAAGTTCAATCCGACCAACCCATCAACGTACGGACACGTCAGCCACCTGCAATTGAAGGAAAACAAAAAATAATAACATGCGTACATTCACTTATTTGCACGGTAAAGTTGGGCCTGTGGAGGCCCATCATGGGTTTCGTTTTGATAATCCGAACCGTTCAATATATAGAACTCGTCTAATACTATATGCTTGTAAAAAATCACGTCTATCGAATATCGCTAATTATATGATCAAATCAGTTTTGTATAAAAATTGAATAGTATTATAGTTAACAGTTGACAAAGAAAACTAACACGATCAGATAGTTATCGATATCCAATCAACGTGATTTTTTACAAACATATAGTACTCGATGAGTTCTACACATTGAACGGTTCCGATTAAAAAAAAGGGACCCGTGGTAGGCTCCCACGGGCCAAACAACACCATCCAATCAAAGCCTAAGAAGTAGACAATATTTTCTCATCTACTCAAACAGCCGGTCACCACTGTCATTTCGTACGGCTCCTACCCTATCTTCTCCTACACACTTATTTATACAATTTTTTAATACACATTTTTTCATAAAAAGTCAAAAAGTTAACCCAAACATCCATATTTTTTTCCTCAACTTTTTAGTCTAACAAGACAAAAAGTGCACTTATTTAGAACACCCCAAACAACACCTAATTCTGAGTTAAAATCCTACAAACCAGATACAAATTCATTCATTTGTTTCTTGCCCGAACTTTTCACTGTTTTCTGCCTTGATATTGAACAAGTAATGCCACAACATAAACTTTCAAGGAAGATAACTCGCATTAGTTTCTAGTATAATATTATGACATTTGAGAACAAATTATGAATCTTATTTTGAAAACTTGAACATTCTTCAAACCTACACACTTGCAGTCTTTTTTTTTTTCTTTTTTCCCCCTCATGGACTCCTTGTTTGTTGGAAAGGGTGAGGGAGGAGGAAAAAGAAAAATATGCTACTCAAATGATTAGTAATTAAAAAATACATAAACCTATGCTCTTCCACGAAGGTGTTCTACAAAATTCCGAACCTGAAACTTCTAGATTCCTTGGAAATTTAATTAAGAATTTCTGTCGCATTTATGACTTAAGGCATGCTTTTCAAAAAAAGAGTATGGCATGCATGGATGGAGTACGCAGATAAGAATAGCCTCTTCAGATCATCACATTTTAATGCAAATTTGTCTGTATTACTAGTTGAAAGCTAATAGCTCTATCCTTCCTTTTTCCTTCGTCTTATATTTTTATTCATTACTGTTAATCTTTTAGTTGGACTTCCTTGAATAGTGATGAAATAAAGTGGACACATTGATGTCCTATCCTTACCATTCCAATGTGTTTCTTCATATTGGGACTATATCTGAGCTTTTCAATAGGCCTGCAAAAGAAAAAATGGATCCAATGGTAAGAAGAAATACAGAAAAATACTTGCCTACTGGTTGCTCATGTGTATGTCTTACCCTTTCACTTCCACTACATCGCCTGGTTTTAAGCTTGCAAAATGCTGACTCATTTTCCCATCAGGGTACACCTGCAACAATTTGTCAAGGTAAAAGGCAATAAAATTTCAGAATAGTTGCACATCTATAGAGCAAAGAGCATTTTCATACTAAGCAAAAAGTACATGCATACCTTAATCAACAAGTCAAAGTATCCCTTAGAATCAGGATCTGATATAGGAGTATACCTAAAAATGGCACAAACTTGAGAAGATTTTCAACAATTTGACTAGAAGTTAAAATGTAGTAGGTTATAATATGAGAAACAATGTAATTCAAATAAATTATCTACATTCCACAGGAAAATCATTGGGGAAACCATTAAAGTATGTTAAATGAAGTGATAAAATTTAGAAACAATGGATATGCGATTTTAAAATTGAGATTCTACATGAATCGTCAATAAGAAAGGTGTAACTGATAACACCAATTCCCTTAAGAATTAACCCGATCAAGAGGAAAAAAAATGGACAAGAAGACTTACGGGCGAATGACATATTTCGTTTTTCCTTCAGCATCTTGTCCTAATGGAGCCCTTCAGCAATAAAAGAAAGGTGGTGAATATGGCTGATATATCCAGTAAATTAATCCAATAGCCACCTTAACTCCAAATTGAAATCTTAGGACACAAAAAATATATATTATTAATATTATTTTACAAGTAGTTCCTCTTATTGAGTATAGCCAAACATACCTTGTAATAATGCATGATGCTACATCAAGACCCAAATTGGCAGTGGGATCAAATGAAAACCTAGCATTATGAGGGGAACAACACAGTTAGAGTGAACGAGCTTTTGATCAACCCAAATGTATCGTTACATTCCATTGTGATTCTAATGCAAGAGAATTCACCGAGCAGCTCTAACGACAGAAATTCATTGAGCTTTTACCAGCATGCATATGACTCATTGACATTGAACTAGAGCATATCATGTAATTTCAACAAATGAATTCATTTCTGTTTTCACTTTGGTAATAATAACGATGCCTTCCTAGCTTATAAAAAAATTATAATGATGCATTTATTAAAATCAACATTTTGTATGTTTTAAGTGTTATGCAATGCACGCAGCATAAATAAATTCCTACGGGTCATCCAATCCACCTTAATCATTAGATATTTAAGTGGAGCTACTTTTGGAAAGACAAGATTAACTAAAAATTTTATTAATTGATGCAATGAACCCTCTCAAAAGAGGATTTAATTGAATCAATCTATTAAATCAGCAATACATATCACTATCGATCATGTTAAAAACTTCTTTATGGTGCTGCCTTGATATGTAGACAGCCAAACCGTTCAACTTCAACGAAATGAAATAAATTAAAGTTCTATGTGGAACTTTGAAAGTTCATTTGTGTCTGTGGTGTGACCAAATTCACTCTTCTGTTTTAATAATCATATAGCCATGATCAGCTGACTAAAAGCATCACTGAAATTTACAGATTAAATAGACAGCTGATAGTGCAGCTGAAAATATGACAAGACTACTTTAAATATAACATGGTTTCATTGATCAACAAGTATGCAAGTAATTTAAAACCAAAATACATCTGAAGAATAATGGTGACAAGAGGATGACCTGAATAAGTGAGTGTTGTGGCTGACCTTTGCTCTGTCTTGCAGCTTAAACTCAAGCCACTTATTTGGATTGAGGGCTGGGGAAAAGAAAAAAAAATCATCACTTCAGCTTAGAAATTATAATGCAAAAAAAAAAAAAGATGAGTATTTGTGGCGTTTGGCTATACTATATGTTTAACTGTTACCACAAACCCACAGGAAACACGATGTTAAACTCATAAAAAACACCATTGCAACATTCCAAACCCATAACCAAAAGACCATGGGCAAACCAACATCAACATCTCTACCTGTAGGTTCAACATCACTACCCCCTTCTAATTAAAACCAAAATTAACATTATTATGGATCTTTTGCACACCCATTAACAAGGTCTCAATAATTTATTAATGCATCAATATATGCATGTGTATGTATTGTGTATGTGTACGCATATCAAGAGGTTTCGCAAATCATCAACGAGCACTCTCTCTCTCTCTCAATTATTTATTAACCCCCGATCTCAACATTCAAGCACGAATCTCTTGAGCACTTCAGCGGCGGATAGCAGCATGGTCAAAGCACTCTGCTGCGGCAAGCGGCCGGTTCTTATTGCATTTCTAGAAAGAAGGCCTTTCTCACCCATCCCCCTAATAGACTCCACTTCTTTACCTTAACCTTATCTTGAAAAAACAAACTCATTCAACAATATCTTAAGAAATAGTAAGTTTGAGCTAGCTTTCTTCAAGTGAGAGAGAGGATCGAAAAATCTTGCCCCCATACAATGGAGTACAATCTCTCTCTCTCCCCCTTAGCTTTGAATAAAAAGGGATATG